AAAAAAAAAAAAAAAATTCCACAGGCGAAGTCAGACGGACAGATCGTTAACGGTTAGTCTATGGTAATACAGTACGTCATTCATCGACCTCAAATGTGTCTTATCTGAAATATGTAAGCATTAGCAACTTTACATGACTACTTAATCTAATGTTAACCTACATAAATGTCTGCTATTCAAGTGTCTGTGGAAGCTGAACAGTTGCGCTTACTGCAGGACAGATGGAGGCGCCGGTGCGCTCACTTGCTCTTAAAATAATCCCTCATTACTTAATCTAATGTTAACCTACATAAATGTCTGCTATTCAAGTGTCTGTGGAAGCTGAACAGTTGCGCTTACTGCAGGACAGATGGAGGCGCCGGTGCGCTCACTTGCTCTTAAAATAATCCCTCATTTTTGCTGGGGCGGTACTAGACCATAGTAACTGGGGGGGGCCAGACAGGGGCCACTTGCGCTTTTAGGGGGCACAATTTTAAAATTAATCTTAAACTACTTTAAAGTTGACTAGAAAAATCTTTAGTCGGGGGCAGGCCTACTTGACACAAGGAACCGATCCATTTTTAAAATAAAATGCTGACTGCAAATCACATCACGTTGTATTGCATTGTAGTAGTTATGCATGTGTAATGAGTCAGATGTTTTTATTTTATTTCATTTTTTATGGGGGTGCTTTGGTTTTTCTTGGGGGTGCTGGAGCACCTGCTAGCCCCTCCCTAGCGCCGCCCATGGATGTCGGGAGTAAATGACGACTGCTATGTTCATTATTACATCCAACAATAAAACACCTCAATCGCTTAGGAGTCATTCTTGTCTACATCTGCTCCGGCGGTGAAACAATGGTGGACTGATGACAGCTCACTCAGGGCGGATCCTAATTTTTGCTCATACAGATAAGAGTAATACATGGTGCACTCACAATACCGCACTTTTATAAAATAATGAAAGCAAACATGATGCGCTTTCTGCCGTCTCGGTCTGTGATAAAACGCCACTGTCAATCAACAATAGTGGGAGGGGCTTGTGCAGAACTACGTCACTCTGCCAAGAATCTGAGAACAGCTTGATCTGAGAAAGGGGTTATTATTTATAGGGATTTTAAAAAAACCACTGGGTGGATTTTTATCATTATGGGGTGGATGTGTACACGCACTGCCAACACACATTTATGTTCAAAACAACATGTAAAAGTGAATTTTGCATCCGATGACCCCTTTAAAAATCCATACATTTTACTTTTTGGTTTTTGGTTCAGTTTTAACTATTTAATTCTTAATTTTCTTTTCTTTTATTTATTTGATGTATTATTACTTTTATTTGCCATATTTACTTAATTTTTATCTTTACCTAAAAATTAAATGATTAATGAAATGTAATATCATGTAAAATGTAATAATTAAAGAAAATATAATATATTAATTATAATTATAAAAAGTATAATAATAAACATTAAAATTATTTGATATAACATTTGTTTACATATATAGACATTGAGATATATTTACACTTAGCACAGTTATGTTTCTCTAAATAAATTAAGGACTAAATTTTAGTTCTAAATGATCTAAATAATTTCTTATCCTGTCATTATTTAACTCTGAGCTTGTGTGTTCTCAGGTGGCATGCGTTATCATCTTCTGTCTCCAGAGGACCGTGAGGAGCTCGGGGAGAGCAGTCGACCACGCCGCAAGAAACACGATTACCGCATCGCCCTGTTCGGAGGCTCACAGCCGCAGTCCTGCCGCTACTTTAACCCGAAGGTACACACTAGCTGCGTTTACATGGACCCTACTAATCCGATCGTAATAGGACTAGAAGCACAATCAGAATAAAAAAAGTCACATGTAACCACGTCAATCGGATTGAAGTGCTTGAAGTGGGCCGGTACGCAGTAAAAAAATACTTCTATATTTTAGCCTTTAGAGTACCTGCACTTTTTTGTGAGTACCGGCGCTTCTGACATGTTGCCGGTACTCAGAGTAAAAGCGTCAGGGTCTGGATTACTAATTTGAATCAGTCCTTTATAATGAAAATAATATCTAAAAATGAAAATAAGCAGGCTTTTGCGATCACATCATTTTAAACCGGTAAACTCCTGCAAAGTCCAAGGATCCAGTAAACGAATTCAAACCGCTCAAAAGAGCGCTAATGCAGAGAAAACACGGCCGATTTCATCAGCGATTGCAGAGAGAATAGTGACTTTCGTCCAGATGTCAGTAAAATTATACTTTTCAGCATTTATTTGGCTTAAAGGCAAGAGTGTTTTATAATGAACGCTGATTATGCGGTGGTCAGAGATTTAGCGATTCTGAATGGATCCGTATAGTAGTAAAGGCAGGTGATTTAGTGGTCTTTGGCATCTCCCTGTGGTCCTGTTTGGTATGGCAGCTTGACTTGTGCTAATTTGTATTGAAAACTTTTATTTAATTATTGATTGATTGATTGTGGCACTATACATACATTGTGAATTATTAAAAAGTACTTATTTATTTAATATAAATAAATAAATAAATGGGGGGGGGGTACCGGCACTTCTTTTTTTTCACTTCAAGCACTGGGGAGGGGCACTTTTACTGCTTTCTAAAGTAAGCAGCACTGCACAACAGTTCATGTGCTGGTCGTTGCTTATTTAGGACCCGAAGTAGATAAATATCACGTGTGCTTTTTATGTGTACTTTTAACAGTATGCGACAACAGCGGGAAACTGTATATTCATGCAGTGTGCGCATGTCAAAAGATTAAATCCGATCAGAAGTGTGTGACATATAAACGAGCATATCAACCCGATCACTTTATTTAACGGTAATGTAAACACTACGTTCGGAATCGTCAATCAGAATGAATTCATTCCGATGGAAGCAAAAAGTGTCCATGTAAACGTACCTAGTCAGCCTGAATCATCTCGAGAATCCAACAGACTATCTGCAGATGTCAGGTTTATCAAGTCAGTTACACTGGGAGATTAACAGCCGTGGAAATATTTGATTTGTATAATTTACGATTTTTTTTTTTTTTGCAATAAAAATAAAAATTATAAAATCATTAATACAAAGTCATGAAAACGTAAACATCTTTTAATAAATATAATTGTTTCACTTTATGTAATCTAAATCTCTGCAATCACAAACCACTGGGACTGAGATCCACAGTCATGGAAAAACTATTTTTTCAAACAATTAATTTTTTAATTTTTTTTATTTTGCAAAACAAATAAACAAAACAATAAAATGTAAAAGAAAAAATGTAAACAAAAATGTAAAAGTCTTGAATAAACATAAATGTATCACTTTATTTAATAATGTATCACTTTATGTAATCTAAATATCTATAATAAGAATTAAAAACAAACACCAACGGGACTGAGATCCACAGCCATGGAGAAACAGGAAATATTTTATTTATATAATTATTTAATTAATATCATTATCATTATTAATAAAACCAGTTCATAAAATCATAAAGTCATAAAAAATTTTAACTCTGTAATGAGTATACATTTTCTCATTTATGTAACTGGAAATATTTTATTTATAATAATTTTAATGATTACATTTTTGATTCAAAATTAAATAATTAAAATTAAAAAAATAGATAAATAAACATTCATGGAATGTTCTTTAAAAAAATTTAATAAATTGATCATAATAATTATTCTTTTGTTTTGGTATAAAAATAATATAATAAATTAAATAATTAATAAAATCATAAACTCTTTGGTAAATATATATGTTTTTTAAATTTATGCAATCTAAGTCTGCATAAAATGATTTTTAAAAGTCCTTAACCTGTGTTTGTGTGTTTCAGGATTACAGTTGGACGGACATTCGCTGCCCCTTTGAGAAGCGACGGGACGCCGCGTCTGTGTTCTGGGACAATGTGGTTTATATCCTGGGCGGCTCTCAGCTCTTCCCCATCAAACGGATGGACTGCTATAATGTGGTGAAGGACAGCTGGTACTCCAAACTCGGACCCCCGAACCCGCGGGACAGTCTGGCCGCCTGCGCCTCCAAAGGGAAGATCTACACCTCCGGAGGGTCGGAAGTGGGTGAGTTTGTGCAGAGCGTCCCGTGGGTTTGGAGAGAAAGTGAGAAGCCAGTAATGTTGGATTGGTGGATTGTGTTGACAGGAAGTTCAGCTCTGAATCTGTTCGAGTGCTACGACACGCGCTCAGAGACGTGGCAGACGAAGCCCAACATGCTGATGCCGCGCTGCAGTCACGGCTCGGTGGAGGCCAGCGGTCTCATCTACGTTCTATAATAAGAATTAAAAACAAACACCAACGGGACTGAGATCCACAGCCATGGAGAAACAGGAAATATTTTATTTATATAATTATTTAATTAATATAATTATCATTATTAATAAAACCAGTTCATAAAATCATAAAGTCATAAAAATTTTAAACTCTGTAATGAGTATACATTTTCTCTTTTATGTAACTGGAAATATTTTATTTATAATAATTTTAATGATTACATTTTTGATTCAAAATTAAATAATTAAAATTAAAAAAATAGATAAATAAACATTCATGGAATGTTCTTTAAAAAAATTTAATAAATTGATCATAATAATTATTCTTTTGTTTTGGTATAAAAATAATATAATAAATTAAATAATTAATAAAATCATAAACTCTTTGGTAAATATATATGTTTTTTAAATTTATGCAATCTAAGTCTGCATAAAATGATTTTTAAAAGTCCTTAACCTGTGTTTGTGTGTTTCAGGATTACAGTTGGACGGACATTCGCTGCCCCTTTGAGAAGCGACGGGACGCCGCGTCTGTGTTCTGGGACAATGTGGTTTATATCCTGATAAAAATTCATGGAATGTTCTTTAAAAAAATTTAATAAATTGATCATAATAATTATTCTTTTGTTTTGGTATAAAAATAATATAATAAATTAAATAATTAATAAAATCATAAACTCTTTGGTAAATATTTATGTTTTTTAAATTTATGCAATCTAAGTCTGCATAAAATGATTTTTAAAAGTCCTTAACCTGTGTTTGTGTGTTTCAGGATTACAGTTGGACGGACATTCGCTGCCCCTTTGAGAAGCGACGGGACGCCGCGTCTGTGTTCTGGGACAATGTGGTTTATATCCTGGGCGGCTCTCAGCTCTTCCCCATCAAACGGATGGACTGCTATAATGTGGTGAAGGACAGCTGGTACTCCAAACTCGGACCCCCGAACCCGCGGGACAGTCTGGCCGCCTGCGCCTCCAAAGGGAAGATCTACACCTCCGGAGGGTCGGAAGTGGGTGAGTTTGTGCAGAGCGTCCCGTGGGTTTGGAGAGAAAGTGAGAAGCCAGTAATGTTGGATTGGTGGATTGTGTTGACAGGAAGTTCAGCTCTGAATCTGTTCGAGTGCTACGACACGCGCTCAGAGACGTGGCAGACGAAGCCCAACATGCTGATGCCGCGCTGCAGTCACGGCTCGGTGGAGGCCAGCGGTCTCATCTACGTCTGCGGAGGAAGTCTGGGAAACAACGTGTCCGGCAGAGTCCTCAACGACTGCGAGGTGTACGACCCCAACACTGAAGAGTACGTCTGTGTCCAAAACACACAGCGATTAATCGCTTTTCCTAGCAATAGGTGGATATTTATGACTTGTTTGAAAGGGATAGTTCACATTCTCATAGTCATAGTTTCAGTGTTATTTTAGTATGATTATATACTATTATAGTATTTATTAAATAAATGTATTTTAATTTTTATAATTTATTTTGGGGTTTTTTCCGGTATATTATAAACAAACTATTTAAAATTACTTTATTATTTGAAATAAAGTCAAATATAAATATTAGATTAAAAACTTAACCTTAAAAAACTTTAAAATGTTTTATTGTTTAATTTTATTGTTTTATTAATTTTTATTTGTTATTTTAGTACTTAAACTTATTTTAATGCAGTTAGTTGCCAAGGCAACATTTTTAAGTTTTTAATGAATCTAATACTTATATTTTATTTTATTTCAAATGTATTTCAATTCATGAAAATGTTTTTAATAGTTTTAGTTAACAACAGCAAAGCATAATTTCCTCACCTTCTGCTCCAAAAAGGGCAAAAAAAAAACTGTATAAATATTATATTTTCTATTTTCAAGATACAGACCAATTTAGTTGTATTTCTTAGCAGGTTGATATTCATGACACATACATTTCATCTGAAGTTTTAAAGGAATAGTTTCCTAAAATGTCAATTCTGTCATAATTTCAGTGTTGTTTTGGTGTTATTTATAAGCTATTATAGTGTTTATTAATATTTTAAGTTAGCTTTTGTTTTTATTTGTTATTTTAGTACTTTACAAGTTCAACTTATTTTAATTCAGTTAGTTGCCAAGGCAACATTAAGTTTTTTTAAGATTAAGTTTTTAATCTAATATTTATATTTGACTTTATTTCAAATTTATTTCAAATAATAAAGTCATTTTAAATAGTTTGTTTATAATATACCGGAAAAAACAAACAAAATAAAATTAAAATAAAATAAAATACGAATAATATTTGAATTAATATTTCATTTAAAATTGATTTCAGTTCATGAAAAAAAATTTATCCAACGAAGAAAAAAAACTATAAAAATATCATAAAGGTACAACTTGTATGCTATGATTTAAGTCAAGATTTCCCAAAATAATAATGAATTAAATCGTAAAAATTTAAAATTAAAATAAATAAATACTTAAAATACTTATTTATGTTTATGTGAGCTGTCCCGTTAACTGTGTGAGTGTGTGTGTGTGTGTGTTTGTGTTTGTGTTTGTGTGTGTGTGTGTGTGTGTGTGTGTGTGTGTGTGTGTGTTTGTGTTTGTGTTTGTGTGTGTGTGTGTGTGTGTGTGTGTGTGTGTGTGTGTGTGTGTGTGTGTGTGTG